GAAAAACTCTTTTCCCAACGTCCAAATGTACGTAAAAACATATCTGGGTCTTTAGCTTGCTAGAACTTTCTCTCTCCATCGGCTCTTTCTGCTGTCAGTTGCCGGGCAGATAGACACAGTACACCGGATTAACAATGATTTACTAAATTAAAATACTTTCTGGTAATATTGATCAATATTCTACATTATTGGACTATTTTGTCTTTATTTATTCTCTGATGTGATTATTTGAATTAAACCCACTCTACAGATAATCTTTCTGTGTCCACATCAGTGATTTTTAAATGTAATTTCACTGATACCCAGAAACATAAATCATGAATTATAAGTATTAATTAATGAATTATAACAGTGAAACAAAAGTAAAAAATCATTTTTAATAAACACATCTTGTACTTGTCAATTTATTTTCACAATTGCAAACACAAGACATATATTAAAATACAAAACATGTAATTATTTAATTATATAAATATTTACAGTTCTAAAAGTCATGGTCTGATTTAAACTTTTAACAATATATTATATATATGAGAAAAAAACAAAAAACAAAGCAGCTTTTAGCCAACGCAGACATAGACACAGTGTTATTGATCCCGAGTACCAATGTGCCATTTGCCAATATTCAAGTTCAAAACATAATAAAAACCACAAAAAACTCAAGGTAGCTCCTGAACCGTATACTATATTGTTCTTGTGCATTTTAATTCATTGTAAGGTTCATTAAAGTCTGCAAATTTGCATAATTTCCAGTATTTTTTAACCTCACATGAATAAATAACTCTTTAAATGTGCCGTTATCTCTTCGGCCCCATTAGTCGCTCCTGGATCTAAACTCTTCAGGCCGTGCTGTGAGCGTGGAGGCTAAGCTTCTCGCTCTTCATCAGGCTGTCGCCGTTCAAACGTGGGTGAATGGCGATGGCGGCGGACGACACTGTCTTTGACTTTCTCCTGGAAGCGCGGGAACACAGCAGGTGGAAGATCTCCGCCACGTTGAGCAGGAGAGAGACGCAGGACACCACGAGCATGAAGATGATGAAGATGGTCTTCTCCGTGGGCCGAGACATGAAGCACTCCACGGTGAAGGGACAGGGCGCCCGGGAGCAGACGATTCTCGGGTCCATGATGAACCCGTACAGGTAGTACTGCCCCACGATGAACGCCACCTCCAGAAGGATTCGGAAGAAGATGGAGGTCATGTAGGACCCCAGCAGGTTGCCTTTGATCTTGACGTGGCCTTTATCGTCAGAGTACTTGGGAACTTTGGTGAACTCGCTCCCGGAGTGGGCCTGCATGTATCCTCTCATCTTGTTTTCTTTGTGGATGACGTGGAAGACGTGGCCGAGGTAGATCAGCGTCGGCGTGGAGACGAAGATGATCTGGAGGACCCAGAATCGAATGTGCGAGATCGGGAAGGCGTGGTCGTAGCAGACGTTCTTGCAACCGGGTTGTTTGGTGTTACAGACCATATTCGACTGTTCATCTCCCCACACCTGCAATGTTTAGACGAGGAAGTTAGTTTTATAAACACAGAAGAGTGCTAATATTGGCTAAACTGGCTACAAAACGTCATTCTGGAGGTAAATTGTTGTAGTTTTTAATAAAGAAACATTAGTTATAGCAGGATAAGTTAGCAAAGAGAGGGTTATTGTCTCTAAATCACTGGTTCCCAGTTTGGGCGGTCCAAATGTCCACTAGGGGTCGCCAAAGCTTCACAGGGCGTCACAAGGCATCATGCGATGGGTGGCTCGGGGTTGAAGACAACTTTGTGGATC